TAATTACCGATCCCGGTGCCTGGTAACAAAGGCGGCTGGAACGGAGAGCAGAGTGCAAGCAGACACAACTTTCCATGTCATTTGAAGATGAAATGGCTGGATCACTGTAATGGCTAGTTGGACCTTCTGAAAAGCCTGGCAAATTCGCTGAGATTGACTGAACAAGGGCACTGTGGAGCTAATTGTTGGAACAGCATGTGGGAGCCCGGTGGTTCCAGTAGTTGCTCTGTTTGATACAGTAAATGGAAGTCTTTGGCACAGAAAGCACCTGAAAGGCTGATTCCTCCTGCTAAAACACTTGAAGGGAGCCTTGCAATGATGAGCTGATCAATTCTTTCAGGATCAGAAATGCATTTTAATCTCTTTCCCAGAACTTTGCAGCCTCTAGTCCAGCTAACACAGCAGGTACATCTCTGACCGAACTGGCACTGGTAGTTCAAAGCACTGGCTCAAAAAAGGCAGGACAAACCTGCTCAGGCATTTTAACCTACCGCTGTTTTTGCAACCGATGCTACGGCATAAATCTCACGGAAGATTTATGGGATCATCTGGATGTAGGGGAGCCAGAGGAGCGTGAACACACAACCATCCCCAGCCAGACAATGGCAGAGTCACTCATATGTGCATGGCAGTGAGTCCCGGATAAATCACTAGCCGGGCCCTGCAAACAAACCATCTGGCCAACACGGTTTCCTCTTGGCGCGCCCATCCCCTCCTGCTAACAAGCCATCTGAGAGGACATTAGGGGCAACAGGGGATGAAGCCTCGTGGTTTGGGTCAGGCTGCAAGCACGAGCCATGGCAGCAGCCCCCTCTGCAAGGTCAGCCTGCCTGTGCTGGGGTCCTGCACATCTCCCAAGAAAAGCACCTTCCCTCATCGGTCTCAGCAGCATATCTGGAGGTTTTCCAGCAAAACATGTTGGGCAGGACGTACACAAGCAATTACTGAGATTTCAGACTCCCTCTGCATTTCCCCCTCGCTGGATATCGTTGAGTTACAGCTGCTGCTCCTGTGCAGGACCCACGCTGAACTGTCTTCACTTACGTTCCTCCAAAGGTCACCGCACTCTTCTTCATTGCAGAGCTTGTTTCACGGTGTGTTTCAGTGGGAGTGCCGCAGCCCACCAGCAGCCACCTCTTGTCTGCCAAATCCCATAGGCGACACCTTTGATCTGGGCCCTGCCTGCTGCCTGCACAGCCCCAAATGCCACCCCTGACCATGCTGTGTCAAGGGCTGGGGAGACATCCCAGCGGGGCCAGATCCTGCTGCCCTTCTGGGCATGCGAGCTGGAGGATGCATCAGCCCTTGCCTTTCCCAGGGAGCAGATCAGCTCAGATTCCCTCACGACTGCAGGGTGCTCTGGGACCAGGGGGATGGCAGCTGCATGAATATGCAGATTGAAATTGGATTATTATTGGTTATTACATTTTTAATTTTTTTGGCAAATCATGAAAATTCACCTCAAAAGGCTGCCGCTGTAATTTCAGTGAGTCCTCTCCTCAATGACAGACTTTCATTTACAAAGGGAAATCAATCCTCCGTAAAACTAATATTTATATTAACGAGATCACTGCGTCTGTTGGAAAATCCCCTCAATTTTGATTATGTGTTAATTAGCCTGTCAAGTCCTTGCCATTTCAGTCTCTAAATCAGTCTGTGAAAAGGCATAAAACCCCATACCTGCCCGGAACCTACCCCTCTGCCTGCTCTCCTGAGCCTTTCTGATGGACGGGCCATTACATCCCCTCTCTTAATTAAGCCTCACATCCTCAGCGGGCACAACTGTGAGTCCCACTGCCCCCTCCCTGGGTGCGCAGGGGGGCCACGGTGTCCCTGACAAACCAAATGCCAATTACAGCCTGACATATATGCGAAGTGAGCTGCTTGCCACCACGCTGCGTCCACTGCCAGCCCGGCAGGCACCCTGCATGCCCCTACATGAAAGGGTGTGCGCAGACCCACCCACGCCCGGCGTTTGTGCACGCACGATTAATGGCATTAACCTGCCGTGCTGGCGCTTCTGCCGCAGGCGCTGCGCACGGCAGCTTGCTCGTGTGCACGCACGCTTTCCCAAATGGGGCTCTGTGACTCACAGGCTGCTAAGTCACTGCTGCAAAGCGATGGAGTGATGCACGTGCTACAATTTGAGAGACAGTCTCTTGCTTTCCAGAGAGCGTTCCAGCCTGGCTTTATAAGCAGTGTGTGTCACTGGTGTTTGGGTCCAAAAAGTGACTAAGGACTCAGACAGGTGAGCAGCAAAGAAATGAACGGTTTCTCCTCCTGTGCCTCCAGCTCAGCCCAAGCGAGCAGAAGCTCTGCTGGCAATGCACGAACAGACCATGGCCGTGCCCTTTCTCTCATGAAAGACAGTATGGGCACGAGGACAGCCACAGCCTGGCCTTAGCCTATGGCCAGGGCACTCACACAGCCCAGCTGACACCTAGCAAATCTCCTGTGATCTGGGTGCTGGGGCATCCCAGCTCCATCATGCTGAAGGCGGCCAAGGCACGAATGACTTTTTAGGGTCTTTTGCCCTGCCTGTGCAAACAAGGGTCAGAAGAACCATGTACAGATTTGCTGAGAGGCAATCTGCACCACACATGGGGCGAGCACGGAAAGACAGAGCAGGGTATGCGATCTCCTTCCCACAACGTGCAGCTGCTTACTCACTGCACAGAAGTGCTTGACTCTCACACCACCCCACATGCAAAACTCGTTCCTACTTCAAAGGGGACAGGATTGACCGTAGAAGTCAAAATGTGTCCCCAGGGCACAAGCCCTGAGAGTAAGTCTCATGAGAGTAAATGCAGACCCAGTTCAGTTCAGCTGTGCTCCATTAACACCATGAAAACCTTTCTGATGGTTTGGACAGAGTAGGACCAAGGCCTTCAGGCAGAATTTCTCATGGTTTGCAGGGAAAAAATGAAACTTTCCCTTTTAAAGATCCCATGGGAAAAACACAGGATTGGTAAAGGGTCACCATAAGCTTAAAAACAGCTCAACATTTGTTTTCCTTAAAAAATAAGCTCTTACGAAACTTCAGAGCACTACAAACATTCCTCTGCTGGAAATGCTTTGAAACAAATAAACTTTTCCCTGCAGCGCCCACAATCCGAATGAGCAGCATTCCTGACCCTCAAAGCCAGAGAGGCCATGGCCCACAACAGAAGCCCTCGGTGGGTTTTAGCCGCCCAGCCCAAGAGCTATGTGGTCAGGAGAGCTGCAAGGTTAAAATCGCTTTCTTTCCTGCATGCATGTACAGCTGCCAACATCCGAACAACACGGGGTTCACAATGCTGCCGCGGCTCTGACCCTGCCATCGTGCTCACTCAAATGAGAAGCAGCGCATGGTAAAGGTGCAGACCTCACAGTGCTCTTCTAGAACCACAAGGTATTCACTTAATGGCTGCAAGAAAAGGAGAGGGAGCAACAAAACAGGCAAAACACACTGATTCCAGCTTTTCAGTGCTGGCTTATTAGTGTAGCATCACTGAGAGCAATGCTACCACACCTACTAGCTAAGGATACGACTCAGGATCTTTACACCCTCAGGATCTTGACCCCGATGGAATTCAAAGACAGTGCAAAGTTGAGGTGCCCAACTTACCAACCCAGATCTATTTTCAGGTCTTAAGATGTCTATCTTGACACCAATGGCACATTGCCATTGCATGCAGCAGGAGGGGGGATGAAACCTTATTGAAATCTGAACTTGTTGCTCCTTGAAGCTTGCTAGGTGCAGCTAAGGGGAATCCTTCTAGAGATGGGAAGCATCTGAAAATCCCCAGAGGGAAAAAACCTTGAAATCTCTCATGGGAGCATGGAAAAGGGAGCAACAGTATTTTTCAGGCTTGCAAAGGGCAAGCTAACAGCTGGAACCATGCTGGGTTTCTGCTGAGTTGGGCACTTTGGGTCCACTTTCACCAACAGAGTCCCCAGACGTGTAATGGGAGCCTTCAGGAGAGGACGTGGAGCTAATCCATGGTGTGAAGAGCCCAAGGAACACAGGGCTAAAAAAAGAAATGTAGAGCTGCCTGAAAGAGTATCTTGGAAATAAAAATAGTGGAATGAGAGCAGTGGGTGTCTTGTCAGTCTCGAGAAGATGTTCTCCGTGCCAAAGATGAGGAGGAATTGCATGCAGCACATAAAACGAAATCAGGAGATATCTGAGGAATTCAGGCCTGTCTCTCCACAGACTTTTCTAATCAAGTGCCTCACAGAGGATATTTCACCATGGTCATTTCCTTCCCTCTCTCTCTCGTGCAGGCTGAGCCAGGGCTCCTCCTTTCATTATTTTTCTTTTTCCTTTTAATTTTCATTTTTGTTTTGCCATTTTCAGATGAAATAGAAACACATCCCACATGGCTCTTAAAGGCACCGCACACTTCCTTGCTACCATGGAGCAGCCACGGCCTCTAGCCAGGGCCAACACCTTTAAATCAGAGTAAATTGGGCTCCAGCAGCTTTGAGTTCCCCTTAGCTTTTGTCCTCACCCTAAACCAAGCACAGCTGCTCTCCTTCACCCAACTGCTCACCCTGGGGTGGGGAATTCACAAGAAAAGACCACCCTGAACAAGGGCTTTTCATTCCTTGCTCCCTGGAGCCTGAGGATGAATTTTCTAAGTAGAAACAAAGTGCTGGAGGGAGCGCGAGGGAAAGGCAAAGGAAGAATGGGGGAGTGTGAACCAAACAATGCTTCAATTCTGTCCCTGCTGAGGGGCTGGCATCGCCTCTTTTCCATGTTTCTTGAGTTGCTTTTAAAAGCTGTGCAGGGAGGAAAAAAGCAAATACTTGTTTCCTTTTGTGTCACATCTTCTTAATTCCTAAGAATAAAACCAAAGCGAGACGCGGCAGCGATGCTTTTGCGTGCAGGCCTCTCCACAGCCCTGCGTGGGCAAGGCTGCATGGGCTGCGCTGCATGAGCAAGGCTGATCCCACGGCAGCTCCAACAGCCATTCCGCAGCCCCTGCCCGGTGTCTCTACCGCCGCGGGCCAGTTGCTTCAGGCCCCCGGAGGAAAACATCCCCCCAGCCACACTGATGAGGTTTTGCAACTTATAACTAAGAAAGAGAAGAAAGGGTAGAAGCAGGGTGAAAACCAGAACTGTGTGCTGAGCTGTCTGAGGCAGCACCAGGCTCTCCCGGGCTGTGCACACGTGCACACACGCCTGCGCACGTACAACAGAGTCTTCTGAGAAACTATGGCCAACTAATTGTAGGGAGACTCGGGGGAGAGGAAATGAAATGAAAAATTGAGTCTGAGTTATAAAAATAAGTAATTTTTATCCTACTTGCAGGAGGCTTATATTAATTAAACATTATTATAGCGAATGAGATGGGGTGGGTTATTAAGTCTGGGGCTGGCTGTAAGTGTTCTCTCCTGTTGCCTGAGGCTCCACTGAGCTCCAGATATTAATCTTCTAAAGCACTCAAATGCTGAAGAGATAAACACTTGAAATATGAAAATGTTTTTCTCCATAGCAGACACTGTGACCTTATGTCACACCAAAGAATTTGTCAGATGTCCATATAGGCTGCACTTACAGCATTACTGTGTCTCTTAGAAAAATGCTGGGCACCTCAGGAGCTGAAGAGAGAAATGATATGTGTGCATTTGCGTGGGGGTGATTTGTGTGTGGAGATGTAGCAGATTCTCTGCTTCCCATATGTTTCTGGAATACATATTTTCCTCTTTAGCACTGCCTACCAGGTGTTGGCTGCACGGCTTTCCAACTGGCTGGCGGCACTGCCAATCTGGCCAGCGCCTCTGCCAGCTGGCTAACAGGTTCGCCTGAATGTTTGCATCTCGAGACTCAACCTTACCAGGGGGAGGGCACGGAGGAGCCCACAGCATGCACGGCTCCCTGGGTGCATGGCACACAGACACTGGAGTCACCGGGCACCAGGGCAGAGCCAAAGCAGGGCAAGATTGGCTGATCTCTCCCTGGGGGAGCCTTGAGTTTCGTAAGCAATGAATGATAGTGAAGAGAAGTGATGTTACAATGATGCAATCTACTGTCGTAAGGAAACTGGCAAATGCTCTTTGTGCCACCCATGCCACAAAGTCAACAAGGGGGAGAACAGGGCACTAGTGCTGGGGTGAGTTCCAAGATGTGAAGCTGAGGAACTTGATCCATCAACCACACTGCCAGAGGCAGGCTCCCTTCCAACCCATGCCAGCACATCTCAGTGAGGTCCTCCATAAATTATGCTCTGCCACACTCACGCAAGTCTTCTGCTTCCAAAGCACAGAAGAGAAAAAGACCAAAAGTCAAACAGCAAGAAGCTGGCATAATTCTTCTTTTTCAGGGCTTAGCTCATCCTTCACTTGGAGGAGGCTGAAATCCAGCCTATGCAAACCCAGAGTGCAGAACAGCTGAAGACTATAGGCAATCTGAGCAACATATGGGAGGAAGAAATGCATCTCTACCAAAAGAGGAAATGCATTCTGGGGGAAAAGCATTAGGTCTTACAGAGGACATTTGGATCAGCATGTGAACAAAGCCCAGACCAACCCACATGGTCACAGGGGATTCAAAGCCCAGTGTCCCATTCAAGGCTATCTCAAGAGCACAGTTAGTATAATTCAGTGCCAACGGTCACAGTCCTGTAAATGTCATGAATAAAAAAAAAAAAAAAAAAAAAGCAAATCATGTGAAAGCTTCCACGAAAGAAAATGTTCAGCTTTGTACAGCGTTCACAACTCTTGATAGCTGTGCAATAATTGGTCATACTGGTTACACAGAGAAAGCCCCATGATCTCCCTCTTCCCTGCTTTGGTACAGTATTAACCATCTTACCAGGCACAGTCTCAGGGCTTGGTTCAGAGTTGCCAGTCCAGGTGTTTGTAGGCTGAAAAGACCATGTATAACCCGTTGCCAAGTCGTGTGACCAACCACAGAGGTCTTCAGGGAGATCAAAGTTGCAGTTGAAGTTTGCAGGGAGATGGAAATCTTATAAAAAGAAATAGAAGCAAAATAAAGTTGGATTAAAAAATGACCTACCCATGAACGGCTGTTACTAAAAAACAATCCAAAACCAAAATAGTTGGCAAGCCACAAATACTGAAAAAAACACGAAATCTCACTCACACTGATGCTTTTAACCTAGCTCACATTTCAACAGCTCCAGGGATCAGCCTTTAAGTTCTGCATCATCAAAACGCTCACACCATGTCCTGCGGCTAATCCACCAAACTAAGCAAATATAAAAGCAAGTACCAAATGTTTCCAGACTCTAATCAGCACCTTCTCTTCATTCTCTAGAGCGGTCAAATATTAAACACCTTCTTAAATGTCTGGGAAGAACGCTTCCTGAGTGCCCTGTGCTCATCAGTTCCTGCTCTGGCTCCAAAAGGAGAATCTCAAGTGCTCCAGAAACTCAGCTTCTGAGTGACAGATCTAGCCACTTGCACCAGACGGGAGCTGTCTGTCAACATGGCGAGCTGTCACTCACCGCTTCCTACCTTCTCATGGAAATGCTACCAGGGGAAACATGGGGCCACCATGAGCTCAAGTTTTTGGATTCTGAGTGAAAGGAGCCAGCCTCTATTTCTAGCTCCACTATGGACTCACCACATGGTCTTTGGGCGAGTCATTTAACTTTTCATCTGTGAAACAGTTGCAGAGCTAATTCCCTATGTCAACAGCTTTAAAAGCTCTGGAGAGGCTTCCTGCAGAGACAGGTCTGCAGGCAGGAGAGCACATGCCGGTGGCTGCATGTAGCAGCAAGGCAGCTACTGGCTTCTTCGGTCAGAGAAGCAGCTCTGAGACCATCCCAAGCACTCAGCGCACATGCACGTCAGAGCCTATTTACAGGCTGGGTTTTTCCTGAGCAAAGAGGAAGTTTCAAATCACAGTGCCACAAAGTGAGTGACTGCCAGAAGGAGGTGAGTGACTCAAGCTATAGGCATCAGGGGAACTTTGCTGCAAGGGGCAGAGAGCTTTCTTTACATGCTCCCACTTTGAAATAAAACAATGCAGATCATGGATCCTTTTATTCCAATCTAATCTCATACCCTGGAGAGCAGCATTGTTTCTGTTTGGCTGTCATAAATCTCATTGTCCAGAGAAATACAGTCATTGTTTATGGAGTATGAGAATGAAAATCTAAATCTGAGGGAAGCTAATGGGAAGGCTGGTTCCACGCTCCACAGCATACTCCGCTCGCTCTTTTGCCCTGGACTGCACCCAGGAATCATATTGTTGCAGAGACTATTACTGGCCTAAATTTCCTCTTGGCAGCTTCCCAAGTGCCTCAGTGGTAGCAGGGTTGCACAGGCTTATCACCAAGGCAAAGCAATGAGAATCAGGCCCTTTGAGCTGCTCCTGCAACTTACATTTCCAGAACTGAACTACAGCAGAATCCCAATGGCAGGTGTGAAAAAGCCAAATAATGTTCTTTTTTTAATTTATGTATTTTAAAACCCATTATTTTTTTTTCTGTGGGACTGGAAGCTGAAGTGACAGAAGTCCTAGGAGCTATCTCAAAGGACGGGTCTTCCTCCTGAGATTTCTTGATGAAGTCCTTGTGTAAATGTCCCAGCCCCAGTGCTGAGGCCCAGGCTCTGCTGTCGTGCCCAGGAGCATGCATCTCCTGCACGCTGCACTGTACAACAGTCCCTGCACAGGTCTCCCATGCCCACTCCCCTTAATCTGAACATGTCACAAGCTTTAGATGCTTCCATCCCCCTTGCAAGGAGCAGAAGAATATGATGTCTGCTTTTACAGTAGGAGTCTGAGGCAGAGAAGATTAGTCCCCCCCAGTACTGGCTCTTTACAAGTACAGCAAGTAGTCTAAACTAACGTTCAGCCTCTTCTACAGCAAGAAGAGGCAGCCAAGCGCCACAGGTACCAAGCCATTCCCTGTACATCTGACAGTCATCTAAGACAGGGGGTGCGAATTCCTGCCTGGAGTTGGTGTTCCCCTTTTTCTGCTGCCTCCACAAGGAGCCCAGACAGTTAGGTCTTCAGGACATCAGCCTTCTCCACATGTCGTGATTTACTCCCACTGTTGTGACCTCTACAAAAGGAGCCCTGCACACCAGGCAGTCTGAATCTCTCCAGTGAATAACCGTCTGAACTTCTGACACCCAGCCAAGGGGATCTGAAATGGAGGGGCAATAAGTGAGTTGCTTCAGGTCACATAAGGAAGCTGGGAGAGCTGCTCTTCAAGTCTTATACCCTAGGGACTGAATTAGTTGCTATCTCTTGCACTCGCATCCTTCCTTGATATAACTTATCAGATTTTGGCAGGTTTTGTTTGGGGTTTTTTTTTATCTCGGCCTATCGCTAATAATATTACTCTAAGCTTTCCAGGAATCAGCCCCATGTATAGGAGCAAATGGGAAGATAAGAGTATTTGCTTAGCTCTTAACCCATCATTTATTGAGATAAAGATGTGCTGCTCTGATACATACCCTCCTCTTCTCCACAGCTATCACCACACTCAGTTGCCTCTTCCTCAGTTGGGTATGGGGTGGTGGTCCCTTCGCTCTTCAAAGTGGGCACCAGTGTCTCTGCAGTGGGCTTTACATCTGAAAAAAAAAGGAGTAGGGATGCTATTTGCAACAGACAGTACAAAAAGCCCAGGTGGGAGGAAACAAAGCAAAATAATTTTTCTCCTATTCTTATAATGGCAGGAAGAGTTAGAACAAGAATGTCATGAAATTTCCATGTGCTACAAATGTCAGCATGGTTTGAACTTCAGCTGAACTGGCTGTTTCCATATGGGAGTTCCTTTGATTTAGAGTTCCCTTTGGACGAGGCTCTCGTCTAGACATACGTGCTACATTTTCTCTTAATTTTTTAATCTACACCACTGTTGGCGATCCGCTTAGCTGTCATTACTGGATAAGAGAGATCACAGGCGGAACATCTTTCTCTTTCATGAAGGCATGTGACACGTTAAAAAAACAGACACAACACTCCCACCAATTGTGCCAATTCATAAAACAAGTCACTCAAACCCACAAATGACGTAACCACAAATGGACCCAGAGGATCCCCTAGTGTGCTCTGGCTCGCTGCAGAAAGCATCTGGTTTCACACTCCAGGCTCCTGACTATGCTTTCAAAGGGTCTCTGTCCAATTTCCCTCTCTCCAACATGGCTCGTGTGAAACAACCTCCAAGCAGGTGTCAGGGGAAATTTAAGCAAAAAAGGGAAGGATATTAAGATCAACAGTAAACGACATTAGGTTCCAGCAGTCTCTCCTTTTATGAGTACAGGAGGCTTGATTCTTTCCACTTTTAAAAAGAGGCTGCTTTGTCAGTTATGTGTGATTGTGTTTCTTTGTCAGCACCCTTCAGGATATCATTTAATAAAGCCAGAAGCAGGAGGAAATGGCTAAATACATTGAATATTTTCCATAGGCTCCTTTCTGCCCTTTTATTTTCCTGTTATTAAACATGTTGCACATAAACTCTCGGGGTTTATTTTACTTTTTTTTTTTCCCAGTGGCTGCCTTTTGTTCAGAACAAAATACCAAATAACCTCAAAGTCTTTTAATTTGTAAGTTCAAATTTGTTACAACCCCATAAAACTCCAAAAGCTACCAAGAAGCAAATTGCAAGCAGCCAGGCTCAGAAAAATGTCATAAAAAAAAGGAAAAAAAAAGCAGCAGGTGAAGGCAATGTATGAAAAGCTGCAGGTTATTTAGAGCTGGTACATTCTTTTAGGTTGTTGTTCTTGTATATTGAGATTTATAGCTGAGATGTGATACTGTGGAAGGACCTTGAAAACCAGGTCCCATACGGGACACAGATGCTGAGTGGATGTAAATCAAGAGTGTTGCATTGCCCTGGACAAGCCGCAGAAATATATCTTGAAAAATCAGTTACCATGACAGAGCCACAACACGATGGTTACAGGAGATAATGAAAATAGCAGGGAGGGCAACGTGATGTGTGAAATGGAAAGTGAAAAAGAGAAGTTTTGCTTGCTCGCTTTCTCTCTCCCTCGCCCAGCAAGAGTCTGTGCAACTGGTGGTAACTGCTGATCAAAATGCAAAGTCACTGAGCAATTGAAACCAGATGTTTGGAACTTCAAAGGAGAAAAAACCAGCTCCAAGTGAACATTCATCAATCTCCACTCTTCAGAGGAAAATTTTGGCAGGTCTTTGAAAGAAGTCAATTGCTGACTGCCTGCTTCCCAATTTTTGAGCTACTAGCCAACTAGTTTGTGATCCCAGTTGCTGTTAAGTTACCTGTTTGACTCTGTAATTAACATGCTTGATGCTGATATGAAATAAAAACAGCTGGGCAGGGTACAAATGGGCTTAGGCCCTCACTTGAAAATATTTTCAATCAGCTTGTTTTAATCCCTTTCTTAATCTTGTTCCCAAGCAAGTGCAACTGCCTGGGTTTTCACAGTCAGTTCTGTAATGTGCCTGGGTCCTCCCAGCAAAGGAGGGCTGTATCTTGGCTTTGTCTAGGATTGCCTCATGTAGCCAGCCTGGATTTAGCATGCAGATAATGCTATGGGCTATCTCTGCTCCCCAGGTTGCATCGGAGATATAAACACTTTTTATAACATGGTGAATCCACAAGATTACAAGCCCTTCTCTGATTACAAAGCTGAATGCCTGCAGATCAATAAAGCTACGAATATTTAGGACTTGGCAGTTGAGTTTTAAACATTACAATGTGCAAACGATTAGACAGCCACACTGGGAAATGACCACAAAGCACCCTGCCTGGAAAAAACATGGACTGTTGCTGCTGATATTGAAACTGAACATGGACATGGCTGTAGAAGAAAACTTGGACAAAAAATAGCACAAGCAGTTGAGGATGCCAGACCCCTCATTCTGTACTTTGGAGGAGTGCAGTGGAGGGGCTGATATGTATGTGGCCGGAGGTCTTGTGCGACTGCCTCCCTTTGCGGCAGCAATGCAGCGCTGCAATGCACCAGCCAGCAATGGTGTGCAGAGATCTGGCAGCTGGACACTCCTGGGAGCTGCCGGACACAGTGACGTGGGAGCTGCGTGACCACTTCTGCACAAAGCCTCAGCTCCCACTGCTTGCGTGAAAGCCATGGCACCTGCTTCTCCTACAACATCCAAAAGACGTTGTAAGATTTAAATTAAGATCTAGTCTTGATTTAAAGGTTAGATCATTTACAATGGATTCCCAGTCCAAGGGGGAGATTTGGCATTGACTTTAAAGGTGACAATTTATCATTATTAATTGTGTGTACGTGTGTTCTGTGATTTGCTGTTAAGTGTTTGTAATGCATCTCACAGCACATCACAAAGAGAAAAGGGTAGTAAAGACTCCACAAAGGGGTGGAAAAAAGCTCTGTGTCTTTTAAGCTTCCTAGAATGGGAATTCTTACAAGAAAATGTCTTCTACAGATGTGTTTATAAAATGGAAATCATACCTCTTTATCACTGACATCTGGATACCAGATTCAGATTTAAGCAGATTATTAAAAAATAAAATAGATTAAAAAAAGAGACAACTAGCCCCTGGCACTGAAAAGCTAGCATCAGACACAATGAGCTGTTGGGTGCATTTTTAGCTTTTGGGCATGAAACCATGGAGCAATCAATCACCATCAAGCCTCAGAAGGGTCAGAGGCACAACCTCTACTGATCCCAGTGAGTGTACTAGACAGTTTTCACCTCTGTATTAAAAGTAATGGTGGCTGCAAGACATACTGCTTGTGAAAAACAGGTGGGCAAAAGCGTACAAACTTCCCTGGCCTTAAGGAAGTTGCAGAGATGTCAGAGTTAAATCCCCAACCTCGTCTGCAAAAGGATTTCCACATTGGGTTCAATGAGAGAGGAACATTTGTTTTTACAGCAAAACCTTACTGTGGTAGCTCAAGATAACTGCACTGGTCACTGCACCCCTCTTCTGCACCTCTGCTTCTCTTCCTACTTTTTGTTTGATTCATTTGGATTAAAAAGCCCAAATGTTGTCTAACAGGGGAAGTAGGAAAGCCTGCACAACATCCAGATAAAAGATCTGAAAGGAGGGAGCAGGGAGTTGGGGACAAATCCCACACGGGGCTCCGTGCAAAAGCTTGGATTGGGATCCAAACATTGCTGCTACACGCTGCGTCAAGACCGGTTCCTTTTAAGGTGGAAGTAAAAAGATGGGCTCAGGCCATACTGCAGGTCCTGCCTCCATGGCTGCAGTCTCCTTGCCACGGTGTGGCCCTGAGGTGGGACAGCAGGGAGAGACGTAACCTTACACTCGCACCTTGCTGGTTGAGCGCCTGCTGTGGCGCTGATGGACCTGGTGGGCAGAGGCGCAGGGCTCCTACCTGTCCAGTCGCAGCCCAGCACCTCCAGGCGCATTCCTAGCAGGAACAGGGTCAAACCTCCGGACTTCAGGGATATCATAGTGGATGTTGCCTTCAAAAAGCTACAGAGAGACAGAGAGACAGAGAGAGAGAGACAGAGAGAGAGAGAGAGAGAGAGAGAGAGATAAAGAGAAAGGCAAGTGATGTGTCCATCCCACATGCTCTCCACCAGACTTGATAATTTAGGTCTGGCAGGACATAGCCACAGTTTGAAATAGTTTAGCTGTCCGACTCCGGGCCATCGAGCCCAGCTGAGCTGGGCTGTGCCTCCTCAGTTTCAAGAGGACCAGACAGGCTGTTTCTAAGAAACTTGCACAATCTCTCTTGGCCTCTGCTTTATCTCCAGGGGTCAGATTCTGATCCAAGCCACACAGGGAAAGCCTGAGGAACATCCACTAACTTCATATATAACTAAGGTCAGATTTGTCCTTTGGCAAATCAAGAGGCTACTGTGTGTTCTAGGATAGTGTAAATGCTCAGTTTTCCTCGCAGGCCAAGTACTGCTGCTTTTCAGCTTACATGCACAAACTAAAGTCTGTGGGGAATAAAGAGAATGCTAGATAGCATCAGGCCTTTTAAGACTCATTTGTGGGATCAGGAAAAATTAAAACTTACCCGAATTTTCAGAAGCAAATGAGTTTGCATAGAAACAGAACAGGCAGTAGGAGAGTTCATTTATTTCTCAAGTCCCCTGCCACTCCCATACCACTAAAGCAGAAAGATTATGGGGAACTCCAACGACATGGGAAAAACACAGGGAATTTCAGGGTCACGCCAGTGTGGCAAAAGGGACTTCAGATATAGCAAATTTCCCAAGGAGAAGCTGTGATTCATCTTCATCTTTCAGAGGCGCAAGGCACAACAGCAACACTTTTCCCCTTAAAATACGTAACTCATTTGTGTCAAACATAATCAAACACGCCATTTGGTAGGCTCTGACCTGCAGGAGCTGGGAGGAGCAGAAGGTGATGTCTACATCCCCAGGCCTGGTCCACAAAAAGACATGAAGGGAAATTGCCATCCCTGGGGCAAGTTGGAACCTATACCCTCTAGCACAGCTTAGGAGCAGGACCAGGGGACGCAACCTGGTGTTTCATGGTGACAACGCAAACTCCCAAGGTCTCTGTGGGGAGAGACAGCTAATTTCCCAAGACCCCATCAGGCAGACTGAAGCCAGAAGCCAGAAACATATCTCATTTTGCAGCTGCTCCAGCCAGTGCCTACCTTGGCTTGCATTGTTTTGGGGTCCTGGATGAAGTCCCAGTCCTTTCCATTCATGCTGTAGGCCACCTTAAATTTCTTCACGAAGGAGCGGGACTCTGTGGTGGTCACACTGTCCCCTCCTCGAGCCCCCTGGATAATGACGCCTTTGATATTCTTCGGGACACCAAGGTCCACCTGCAGACACTCCTCCCAAGGCTGGGATTGGGGGGCACGTGGAAACAAGCCTGAGCGGACGCGGGGGAGCCATGCCGGGAGACCAGTCATAGCCTCTGATAGAAGAGGCTGAGATCTGCGAGTCAGGGATGAGGCCAGAAAGCATTCCCAGCAAGTTGGAGCAAGGCGAATCTGCAGGGAAGAAAAGGGCATGAACAGCTGGGGCAGCTGAAGCGAGCACCCATGGTTTTCCCCACAGGTTTAAGCTCTGGGCACTAAACGAGCACCAGCACTGGGCACTTCCCTCTTGCCTCTGGGGCCTGGGTGCCTGTCCCCCCAGATGCATCACCTGCAATGGGTGCTTCAATGCGGCTCACAGTGTCACCGTTCCCACCCCAAGCAGCCATGACAGCTGCAGGGGACAGCACCCCAGGACAGGCTGTGGGAGGAAGAGAGGAGGGCTGAGGCCAAGAGGAGGAGAGAACCCTCACCGGTGATGCGGCAGCCGGGCGGGGCCAGCCGCCGTTGTGCCAGCTCTGGGGACGGATGCGCACAAAGCGTGCGAGCACCGGGCTGTGGATCTTGTTGAGAACCACCTCCGTGGCATCCTCATTGGCCTGAAATGTCTGCAAGGGAGAGGGGGCACAAACATGGTTATGTGCTCTCCAGGCAGAAAGAAATAACCAGATCAGCAGTTGAAATAATCTCAGCAGGGAAAACTGAGGAGACGCTTTCTGGGCAGGGCCAGCCTCCGGCCAGGGCAAACACCCAGTGGCAGGCAGAGAGAGCTGAGTGCTGGCAGAACTTCCCAGCCAGTCCCTCGCTCCTGCCTCTCCGGCACACAGGCAGCTCGCCACACAGAGACAGCTTTTTGGGGGAATTTATGATCCAACACGATATGGAAAGGCTGCTGCCTTACCAGATGGCCATGATCAATAACTACCAGATGGACGTTAGATCCACCCCTCCTTCCCATTATTTTAATAGGCTGGACCAGGACCGGATACTGTGTTGCTGTTTCAGGTTGCAGAGCCATAATGGGGAAGAAATGGGGGAAAAGAGGAAACACGCAACCTGGGAGTAATTTTCAACCCTTTCTCTGCCCCAGCATAAAAGCACTAAAGCTCACAGGCTGAGGCTGAGGACATTGCCCACTTTCCCTCCAAGCACACAGGTTCTCAGGACTGGGCTGGAGCATCCTCCGATCTCAGCCAGAAGCCGCATCCACACTGAGATGTTGGCTGGGCTCTTCTGCAGGCTCCTACCCTGCATATGCCACGCTAAGCACAGGAGCTCCTACTAAGTTTATCTCAGAGCTAAGCAGGAGAGTGTAATCTCTGGCACTGATCTCCTTCTGCTGGAGGCAAGAGTCAAACAATTCAACTGCAGATCCCTATGATCCAGGACAGAAAAAGGGGTGAGGCTGTATCCTGGCCTCCAACTGCTGTAGGCCTGCAGACAGCACATGTCACTGCTCTCCTAGGATCCAGCAAGCCAGGGCACTCAGAGGGTGTTCGCAGAGAGGGACAGCAGCTGTTTGCAGCATCACATCCCACTCGGGGCTGCCCCTGCACATCACATCCTGCTCGGGGCTGTCCCTGTGCCTCGACGTCCAGCCCAGGGCAGCCACCCCGCAGAGGGCCTTGGCTGCAAGTCTGGCTGGTAACTGGGATTTGAGTTGATGTGAATTTGAGCAGAAATGCTAATCTGGAGAATATACATCATGCTGCTACCGTTTAGCAACACAGCATGGTTTATGTGTTTTTAATATCCTATTTTATCCTGTCTGACCCCACTCCCCATCCTTTTCCTTGCTCAGCAGACACCAGATACCCTTTTTTCCAGCAGGAGGGCTATAGGAAGAGTGGTTACCGTGAAACACTCTCCAGGCATGTGTGTGTGCCTCTCATAAACCTGTGGGAACACACACATGCGCGCACAGGCTGAAAGGATACATTTCCACAGCAAAGCCTCCAGCTTTATGTCAACATAGAAGCTGACACACAACACCTTACCTCTGAACCCAACACCGGAGGACAGGAAATGTTTATCTGAGCTGGTGCAACTATTTTAGTACGAGGAGCAGCACATCAGGTCAGCCCAAAGGTCCCTCTGTCCCATGGGGCGGCTCCTGATGGTGGCCCCAGCAGATGCCTGGGGGCAGCAAGCCCAGGGGAGTCTTCTCCTGGCAACCTCCCTTTGCTTCCCACTATCAGCAGTCTGAAGACTCCATGAGCCAAAGGTTGCATATGGACCAGCATGTTTAACAGTCACTGGTGAGGTTTGCTGCTCTTTTTGGTTTAACATATTTCCAGTTTTGTTCTTTTTTAGCTCACTTCGCACATACAAGCATCAGGGGCCAGAATCCAAATTTACACCAGCGTAATTTGTTGCTGAATTCTGCAAAGTCAAGCTTGACAGAAAGCAGAAGCAGGACTGAGCCCAAAAACTTTATCACTACCACATGCATTGCCGAAAGCGTCTCTTATGCGACCTTAGTCCCAACCACCTGCTTCCAAGGAGAGCAACCTCAATTCTGCTTCAGATTTGGGGCCCAATACTTTCCTCAGGCTAGATCCCATTCAACAAGCTTCGTAACCCTAAACTGGGGCCTTGACACTCCAGACTGCCAGTTTATGAGGGCAGAAACAGCACCTGACTTCCAGCTCTAGTATCAGCCACACTGGCAGGATCTGCCCCAGCGAACCTTGTTTCTGAACAGCCCCAGCTGATCCCAGCAAGTCATTGCTCCACACCCTGTTCAGCATAGCAGAACAGGGCCACGTCAGAGGGCAGGTGCTCAGTGCTGTTCGAGCAGCGGGGTGCCCCCGTGTGCCTGGCCCTTCAGCCTCCCTCCCACATGGAAATGCATCGCCAGCCCGCAGGCTGCTGACCAGCCTCTGACTCCGAGTGCACGGCTTCTCTGCGCTGAAAATGCCGACCCCAGAGCCCGAGCGTACCGTGGAGAGGGTCCCTTTGACTTGAACAGGCTCTACATCCTGCCTCAAATTAGCACACACGGCATGGGAAGAACTAGCAGGAAAATGTGTGAAAATGGGAGCGCCAAGAAAGCAAAGATTTCTTCCCCCTTACCAAAATAGAACATTGCTATGCCTCCCATCCTATCTGCTTCCCATCCCACTCAGCACATATTTTGAGCCAAGTTGTTGAATGGTGTAAATCAACATATCGCCATCGAAGTATAAGAAGTCACAGTAATTTACACCAGCAGAAAAAAAAATCTGGCTGTGATCTAGGGAGACAGATAGACACACACTCAGCAGAGAGCGCACATGTGCACGCACATGCACGCGCGCTGAAGGGTGACGGAGCCAGAAGACGAATGGGAAAACCATTAACAAATTAAAAGCACCTTCCAATAAGCAGTCAAGGGAACTCCTTTTCACTGCTGCATCAAAAAGCTGCCCACCCCCTCCCCATATACTTTATGTTTACTTCCATTTTAGTCCAGTCGGCAGGTCTACTTGTAAAATTAAATGGATAATCAATGAGAGCTGATGTGCTTAATTAATTTGCTGCAGAAAGCAAGTGGTGGGAGATGATGCCTGGGCTAGAGGAGGATTGGGCAAGTTTTCCACATACACACACAGGCAGGCTCCACACCAACACCTACAAGTTGTATTTCTGACATGTTGGAACTGCCACGGGGTGATGGAGGGAATTCTGAAGCTGCATTAGTTCCAGTGGGTATGGGAATTGTGCCAATGGCAGTTTGGAGTGAAGGGAGTGAAGGACAGAGAGACAAAAAGCGCCATGAAGTCGAAGAGGCAGCGAGTCAAGGAGGGGGCAGGAGGTAACCTCTCTCCCGCTATATTTATTGTGCTGCTTGGCCACTATGCAATTTCTTGGGGAGCTAAAGAAAGCGGCTGGGGGAGGCAGAGAAGCAGGCCACGGATGGCAGCAGCCCTGCCTTTGTCCATATGTATGTGTCTCTCTGGACCCACTAGATTTACTGCAGGATTATGTTACTCCCGTGGAGACAGAGCCCTGGAACAGAGCATGCTAACAGGATTAGGGCTTCAGGATTTAGACAGAGAAGCATGAAGGAGAAAAGTAGGGGAGATTATTTTCCTTGTCAGATAGGGAAGGCATAAAATGGGGCATGTTTGATGGTGGGAGGATTCTGGCTCGAGTGGAGGGTGGATAGTTCTGGATTTATTAAATCCAGGAACAAGGAGGCAAAAGAAAAATGATACTTGGCAACACTCAACAAAGCACAGCCGTCTGGGCAAGGCACAGCATGCTGGGCTGGCCTTGCCAGCGCCGTGTCTTTGAGAGGTTCCACTCAGATCCAGGAGTCACCAGGGACACAAGGAGTGGCACTCTGTTAGCCTGCAAAGCAGATATCGGGCCCAGAAGTACAAAGCTGCAGCCTTGCTAGGAAAGCTAGGACTCTTAACTCTCCCCTAGTACTGCACCAAGGGTGAATGTGCAGGGCTGACTTTCCCAAAGCCTGACGTCTTTGTCCTGCCTGTGAAAGCAGCAGAAGCAGGCTGGGACCTGGGGATGCTTCTGGGCAAAACCTCTGCACCATGATGTCCCTGTGCAGAAGCACTTGCAGCCTTCTGGCTGATCATGCAAGCTTTTCTTGAGTTTTCCAGTTGAAGAAGCCATAGGACTGAAAGCTATTCTCTTCCTCCCAGGTGAAAGAACACAGGAGACCTCATTAAGAACTGAAAGTATAGAGGAATACTCCTAAGGGGAGGCACAAGGGTCTCCAAAGAGTCATCCTCAGTATTTCCTGCCAGCACCAAACATCTCTGACATCCCCAGCTCCATGCACAGCTGAGATATTTGGCTCTTTGCAGCAATTCAACCTGCCTTCTTGCATCCACGTGAAATACCATGCAGGAAGGTTAGCTGATAACAAGCACAAAGCTGTCAAAATGAGTAGGAAATGGAAAATGCACATCAGTTGGATTTTGCTGCCATTTCTCATCCATTGACTACTACAGGTTCTCAAAGCAAATGTTTCAGTTGCATCCTCCCATTTTACACACAGAGCAATGGAGACAGCAAGAGCACTCATCACAGTCCCAACCCACCCCATATCCTGAAACCCACCCTGTCCCCCAGTCCCTCGCCACACTAGACAATCCCTGTGAACTGATCTGTGCAGTTACTGAGGCAGAGCGGCTCAGACCACACAGCAGACGGAACCCAAGACCCTACAAAGAAGGAAGTGGATCAGAATGGATGAGCACTTTGTTTTCCAACAAAATCCTCATAGCTGAATCTGCACGAAGAAAATGGCAAAAACCAAAAGGTCAAATCCTGTCAGGTGCTCTTTTCCTTCCTTGGGTTCAAGAACATTCAAGAAGTTGCTGTTTTCTAAAGACATTTGCAAAGTGCTAGATAAGATCTCAGCGCACACACCAGGGTCTGTGCCTGGAAGATAACCTCTGGGGCCATTGACACAGAGCGGGATGCCACAGGGAGGGCAAGAGCCAGAGCAGCCTTTCTGGGGCAGGGCTTGTTTGGCCCTGTCCCATGGGGACAAGCTGGTGGGTAGTAAGTGGCGAGTGTGGGGCAATAAGTGGTGGTGACTGCTCTCCTCTCCGTCTCCTCTCTTGGGCGACACACAGGAAGACAGCTCTGCACCTTCAGCCAGGTCGCTGGGTTAGCCTCTCGCCCTGGTCCCATGTCCCAGGCAAGGACAGAGCATCACCTCCTGGGCAGGGAGACGTCTGAGGTGTACTGGGCTGGGCTGTGTGGGGAGCACCCTGCCAGGAAGAGGGAATGCCCGGCAGGGATGGGGGGAGAAGGGGAAGGTGTGAGTGTGGGGCTCCTCTCCTGCCAGCTGCAGACCTGCTGCTGCCTTCCCACTGCCTCCCCACCCCAGAAACACGGCAGTGCTTGACATGGAAACAGGCCAGCAAACCCTGCCTGCTGCGAGCATGTATTAATCTGTTTCCCTCTGCTTCAGCCTGCCTTTCCAGTCTCCCTCGCTGTGAGTGCCAGTGGCTGGGGACTCAAAGGTGAGCCGTCACATTTCACAGGGAAACACCCTGGCCCCACTCTCCGCAGAAACATCAGAAGGAGGGGAAGCAGGGGGTGAAAGAGAGGAGGTCAGAGCCCCCCAGCCTCTTCAGAGAGCATCATCCCCTCCCCAGCCTTCCTGCACTCGCTGGTCTTCTCTTGCTTTAGTTCCCTGATGAAGATGTAAATGTTAGCTGACCCGCCTATAACATGGCAGAGATTTGCTTTCGGCCCGCACAGCCAGCAGAAATTCAGAGCAGTGTTTGATACACCCCATATGCCTATGTGTGCCTGTGCATATATAGATATGTATGTGTGTGTGTATATATATATATGTGTATATATACGTATATAGCTGCATGTATATAGAGGAATAGAGAGTCCCTGTCTGTCCACCCCCTCCTCTCCCTCCCCGCTCCTCATGGCACCAAATCAAGCTGCGGCAGACTTGACAAATCTATTTGGCATGGTTCGCTCCACCGTTGCAGCCTGAACAGTGTGGAGCACCGCACTGACGCAGGGAGGTATCTGTACCCTGAATGCAGGCATCTGGGAGCTTGTCTAATGCAGCAACAGCGGGGATTCACGCAGGCGGGGAATACGGGGCCCGAGCCCCCCAGCACCAGGCCTGTGACTGAGGGGCTTTGCCCTGGCCCCACTGCGGCTTGGTGGCTGGTGGCCAGCTGTTCGGTGGGGAGGGAAAGCAGTCACCCGGCTGCAAGGGGTAGGCAAGCCACCAAAAAGCAATTACTTATCCTCCAGCCTTGGGAGGTGTTTGCTAAATTGAGGCCAAAACACGGGAACGAAGCAAGACTGGAATAAAGGGGTAAAAAAGGAGAGGTTTGATTTTTCCTCTTTTTTTTATGAAGAGAGAAAACAGAGAAGAAAAAAGGTGACAGGACTCAAATGCGAAATCCTGAAATGGTGGCAATTCATGTAGCCATCAGACTGCTTTGGGTTGACACCAGCCAGGCTTTAGGGTCTTGCTGGAGCAATGTGAATTGGCCCAGCAGCACTGAAACCAGCCGTGTTCCCCTGCTCCACCCTGGCTGAGGGTCCAGTCTCCAATGCCTGGGACTGCAAGGATGGGACATCTACCCTCCCCTACGACTAAAACCATCCCCCAGGCCAGATTCCAGCTCCTGTTAGACTCCAAAAGGTAAATTTATTGCCAGTGGCTATTTGAAACACTGAACTGTGTATTCAGCCCATCGCTCTGCCTCATGTGTTGCCAATCTCCCATCTGCCTCAGCTTGCAGAAATGGTTCCAGGGACACCTCAAACTCACCCGTCTCTATGGGCTGCCCGGGTGAGGAGGGACGGCCCTGGTTCACAAAAATGTCTGCTGTGGCCAGTGGGTCCTGGGAAAGCACAGAGCCTCCACACCAGTGCATGGCCACTGCATTAAGGTTTATGTGAGCTCTGCCATGAGCTGCAGCCCCGGAGCCAGCCTGCCCAAGGTCTGGGGGAGCCCCGCTGCTGACTGTCCTATGGGGTGCTGGGCTGCCCTGTGCCTCTTTTTCCCTACCTTTAATGTAGGACTAACACCACCTCGCTGGCACGCAAGGAGGTTAAATACTCCAAATAGGAGAGGTATGAGACCCTGGCTAGGGGCCTCTGCACAGAGAGGGCGCATTCTGGGAAGCAGAGTGAGTTTGAACCGTGAGACACACTTGTAGGGAAGGGGAAATCACACAGCCCGGAAGGGAAGGAAATGTCTGGATGAACCCTGGACAAGGCAGGCTACTGCATTTCGTGCCAGCAGCGCCTGTGCCAGCAAAGGGAGGGGACAGCTAATTTAACAGCAGCGCTGAGCAAGCAGAAATTGCTGGGACTTGGCGGGGGGGGGAGGTGTGCGGGACCCCAGCTGGTGAGTTCACGCAGACAGATTATGGCACATCAGGGATGAGGACATGACCCACAGCAGCAGTGCTGGTGGGCACCACAGAAAAGCAGGGAAGGGCTTTCCCGAGGTGCCCTTAAGCAGGGGACAACCACGCAACCAAGGCAAGTGACAGAGCAGGACCAGCCCAGCACCACGGCTGCCTTAACCCCCCTCCTCATATGCCAAAGCTCCCATGCGGACCACCTCGAGCTTGTCTCACCTGGCCATGCAGCAGCACCCGCAAGGCTTGGAAGGGCTGAACATCCATCCTTACCCTCCCTCCCCCTCGCTCCCACCTCTGTGTGCCTCCCAGAAACTCCCAGGGCTCAACGCATCTTTGCCGACCGTGCCTGCTAGCGCAAACCCCACAGCTCTGGCAGCCTGAATTGCTCCTCATTATTTATTGTTCATTTTGTTCCCTGGGACGGTGCGATCCCCTCTCAGGATTTGTGCCCTTTCATTTCCAGGCCTCAATAACTCCTGAACTACAGTTTCATGTGGTTTTGTGATTGTTAACCCAGCATGCAGACGGGGCTACAGCCGTAAAAGCTCAATGAATCTTGTATGGCAAAACACAGGCTGTGAAAGCATTTTCTCCTTCATTTGCAGTCAAATAACATACTCTCGCCACCACGAAAGATGTAACAGCAGCCAGGTTTTCCAAGGAATAGTGTTTCCTCATTGCTGTGCAGAGGGGAAAGGACTATTTCTGCTCAGAGCATCATCAGTCTTTTAGCCCTCATCAGAAAAAGTGTCCCTCACAGATTAAACCCTCCAGGCTCATAAAATCTCTCTGTTCTATTCCCTCCCATCAGCTGCAAGTCTCGCTGAGGTGCATGCAAAAGAGACAAAAAGGCCTTTACCTTGTGATTTTTCCCGTGTCGGTACATCATCCAGTCCTCCCCATTGGTGCTGACCTCTAGCTTGTAGGTACGGACATAGTAGCCATTCTGGGTTTCTCTGGAGATGGCACCTTGTGTGGCAATGGCTGTGAGCACAGTCAGGAAGTGGAGGTCCACCTTTCCAGGGGAAAAAGGGACAAGAGAGAGAATGATGGCCACCTGAGAATTCAGGTTGGCTAGTTAGTTCCTCCCGCTGTCTCTGAAACATGAAAAGGCACAAATTCAGTCTGTCTCACTCCATTTGTGGGCACACACTTCCCCGGGCACGAACCACCCGGGCTGACTGCAGCAGGATGCTGGGGACCACAGGACAAGAGTAACTAAGGATCTTGATGTCTGTCTACATGGGACCATCACAAAACCGTCTTCCTGCCTCAGACCAAGCAACAGGATCTGCACAGAAAGTCATGTCTATTAATGCAGGACAGAGGCTGAATTTTTCCATGTAAAATAAAAGCATGATGTCCAATTAGCAAGTGCTGCAGTTCCTGGTTTTCCCTTGCTTTTTTTTTTTTCACAATGTGGGTTGAGAAAGGTCAGCAGAGCTGGGTTGGTAGCACTGCCATGAATGAAGAATGAGACGTCTGCTAGAGGCAATGACATTCTCAACCTCCCGTTCCTAGTGCCCTTTAGCAAGCAGTGTCTCACGGCGATGTGACACAGCCAGAAGCCCTGCGCGGACAGAGACTGTGGATCTAACCAGCTCCCAGGGAAAGCCTTTGCTCTGTCAGCTCGCTACCTGACGTTAGCCTGCTCACGCTCCCTGTATCACTGACGAGAGAAATATTATTCTAGTTGTTTTTCCACGTGCCTACTGGATATTCTGGTCTTCAGGCCAGTGGCGGAGTCAGTGGCCCTTTTAAGTGTCAGAAGTCCCTCAGTCTCTGTCAGTATGCTGGAAAGTCCATCAAGGTTTTGGGCAGGAAGAAGGGGGTGGGAGAGGGACAGCAGGCCGAGTCAGCCCTCGTGCAGGCATGCTAATGGGAGAGCCAGCCTGTCGCATTTCACGGAGGCACTGCAGCTCCCCTGCTGCTCGCTCCCCATGAGGCACAGAGGCAATAAAAAAATCAGCAAGCCTGATGGCCAAGGGTCAGTTTAACAGTGTGACACTCCATCTGGTGGGGGAAGAGGTGAGGGGGCTGGAAAGAGGGCATACCTGGAGGTACTCTTTGTTGCTGTCTACATTGGGAGTCCAGCCATTGTCATCACTGTTGAGCCGGCTCTGTTGAGGGGTCCATCGCCCGTCTGAGTAGGTGGAGGAGGCACTAATCTGCATGTTGGAGATCCTGCCAGACTCCATCCCCAGTGGCACGTTGCACTGGAAGTCTGGAGTGGACACACACATGCACACATGCAGATCAGCTTACAGTCTCTGTCCTTCACTCCCAAGTGGAAGGCAGCCCCGAACTATTGTCCCCAGCTAACCCCAAGCAAAGCTGCCTGCCTGGAAAGATGAACAGACCTGCACCATCTTGCAGGTTGTGTGTGCTCACAGAAGGCACTGAAAAATTAAAGGTGGGGCAGCATTATGTTTGCACAGCCCTCTGAAAACTAATACAGTCCAGATCTTTCTCCCTTTCTCTATGTCCTTCACCTCTGCACAGTTCTGAAGCAATTCTGTCCCTTCCCTCCCTCCATCTCCACCAAGATGTTCCAAGGCCCCTTGCCACAAAATTCCCCATCTTATTGAAGGCTGGAGGTGAAATCTAAGCACTGACAAGGCACAGAGTACAGGCAGGCACAACAGGAGGGTGTTTACTGCTGTGCTGCCAGCAGGAATGGAAAGGGGAAGGTCTAAAGGTTCTGTGTGGGGAGTATGGACGCACATGTGTATGCCTCTGTGTATATGTGCATGGGCTATATGTGATATCAGGACCATAGCAATTAACCAGACAAGAATATGAAAGACTCCAGGATGCTTTCATTTGGGCTTCCTCACTTCTAAGGCTTTAATAGTCACAAATAGCTCAGTCTTATTGCGCATCTCATATATTTTATGGCAGCTGTCCTGTAAAAGCAATTGCAAAGAAAACATTGATAGAAAATACTGCATGGGCCCAAGCATGCTGCTGCCGTAAACCAATGGGGCTCCACCAAACCGCTTGTGTTTTTAATGTGGCCAAGTCAACCCCGGGTGGAAATGATGGGCCAAGTTAAAATCTCAGTGGTATTATTAAAGTTTCAATCTCACACCAGCATAAATCAAAACAGACCTGGCCCTTTAACAGCTCTTAAGCTTAATTTCTCAAGCTTTGTGTGTCATTAACTTTTTATTTCCCAATACTTTTAAAGAATAGAATAGAAAGAGGATTAAAGAACAGATCAACTGAGTATAGAGATAGGTAATGGTGAAGAGCTCATGCTTGTCTGTGACTCTCAGCCTCAGCAGAATATCCCTAACTCAATCACACAGCAAGAGCCTGTAACCCAGCTGCCCTAGCGCCACACAGCCCCTAGTCTACCCTGCTCTCCGTCATTGGCTTTCGGTGTCAGATCAGGGACCCTCTCTCTTTCTTTGGGACTGAGGGGTGTCCTGTAGGCTTCTTCTGCTGTATCACAGGTTTACTGCAAACTCAGATCAAGAACTGTAGCTCTGATGTAAAAGTACCATGGGAAAATAAACTGAATCTTTCCTCGCTTGCAAGTATTATCACAAAGAATCAACATGCTCTCCATTCTCAAAACACACAACTTACTGCCTCACTCCACATCAATTTACCTCCCTTAATAAGGGTTCTAAAACAAATTTTGGTTTGAAATTCTTAGAGCTTTAGGCATTTTTTAATTAGAAAGCCAAGAAATTCTGATTTGTAGCTTGGGGCTGTGAATTTTTGGAAAACCAGAGAGAGGGAAAG